TCGAAAAACTCGTCGTAATTTATCTCCGACAATTGACTTCCCCTTACTGCAGAGATTCAACGTTAATAGTATTGCACCCAACCATCTTGAGAAAAAATGTTAACAATCAACCAGCAAAACTATTAGATGTGCCTCACCAACCCGTTCTTGTGTGTACCATCCGTCAACAAGCTCCAAACAATAACTGTCAAATTGTACCAGAGAAAGTAATTCAAACCGAAAAAAATAGTCAAAAACAAATGATGTTTGAAGATAACGGTGGTTCCAAAAAAAAATAACGGTGGTTCCAAAAAAAAATGAAAAAAGAAAAAATGATTGAGAAATCGATTGTCACAGCCATTTGTCAATGTAAGAAAGATAATGTTTCCTATTACCAACGGAAGTTTGTTCCTCTTACCAACGGTTACGACAGGTATTTAGGTTGGTGAAGTATTTGATAGTACAAGAGCCCGGTACTACCAGGGATCACTTATGAAGCAAGCCCTCTACCACTACATCACTACTGCAAATCAACTATAGAGTTAAGGCAAGTTAAATAAATTTTGATTGTTTTTTCTAATTATTTTCAATTAATAACAAGTAAAAAAAGTTTTTTATTAGTTAAACTTATATTGTGGATTTCTATTTACTTGGTTCAAAAAATTATATGGCATTCAATATAAAAATGTCAACTTTAATTTAAAAAAACTATATTCATTTACTAAATGAATATAGTTTTTTATATTCATTTACTAAATGAATATAGTGGTTCTTTCTTTCATTTTTTTTTTTTTTTTTTTTTTTGAAAATTTTAAATATCTTTATTAAAATTTTTATTAAAAAATCTAAATTTTAAAGAAACTTCAAAAAATTTAATTTCTATTTAATTTTTTTATTTGTGGTTCTTTATTTTCTAGAAAGTTATACAAAAATTAGTACATTATAATAAAAAAATAGAAATTATTAAAAAAATAAAAATTTAAAAAAATAAATTTTTTCAAAAAATGATATTTTTCTTACTTTTGGTTTTACATTTTTTTTAACTTTTGTGGTTTTCAAATTTCTTTTACAAACGATATTTACTATGCAATATAGTTGCAAAATAGTTATTTAGAACACCCTCTATTTTTTACAACTCTCATAAAAAGTTTATGAATGTTTTGTTTTGCTCAATAACCTATACTTTAAATTGATTATTGGTTTAGTGTGCTGCTTAAACAGTACACTAATCCTAACTTCTTCCAAGATTCAAATCCACCACTTAGTAAGAATGTCTTATTTTTAAGGGTTTTTTCAATCTTGTTGCTGTTTTAAATACAAAACAAAACAATGTAAGACTTCAATTTGTTAGAAAAGTTTTGAAAGATTTCTTATATTAAATATGTTATATGCATAATCCTTACATAAAGGATCTACAAACTCAACTTACATACCACCCTTTACACTTATAGACATTTGTACATAATATTATATAAACAGAATTTATACATTTGCATAGTTTTAAATAATTTAATGCTATTAATTAATTATAGCTGACCAGGCCCATAAAAATATGGGTCTTTGTAAGTCAAATCCACACTGACTTTTTCTACTCTTTTTCTTTAGCTTTCCAGACCCTTAAAATATGGATCTTTACCAAACCTAAAATTTTTATACTTATATGTTTCACAACAACCTTTACTACCAATTCCTTATTTACTTCAATTTTTTTTTTAGTAAATAAATTCATCTTGAAGAATTGCGTTAGGAGCAAAAAAAATTGACATGTTCATCTTTCCTGCATAGGTAAACCTTATAACTAGGTTTGTTATTAAGCTAAGAGATTGTCCATAAATTACGCAACCCTAAACTTATTTAAAAAAATAGAAGTAGGAGATCATTTACTCTTTTGCGCGGCTGAAATTAAAGGGCTATTTTCACTTGACTTGAAGGGTTATTTTTATTTTTGGTTTAATTAAAGACTTTGCGAGGGATAAATTTAGATTTTTTTGTTTTGTCCATTAGTTATATTTAGCTTTGCATAATTTCTGGACAACCCCTCAACGCATATCATTGATAGCTTAGTGGTTTAGTGCATTATCATAAGTGTTGTTTTAGGAGGTTTTAAATCATAATTACTTTTGAATTTTTTCAATCTTGCTTGTCTATTTATAAAAAAAAAAAAATTTCAATTGTGTATAATAAATCTATAAAATAAGAAAACTTTAATATTAACTAATTTTAATTTTATTTTAACAATTAGAAACTGTTATTTTAAACAATTAATTATTTTAATAATTAGAAACTTGCAATATTATTATATTAGTTTTGCAGAATATTTCAGAATTTTGCTATATTATTAAATACTATTTGCAGACAGTATATGGAAAAATTGTTCCAATTACTGCCTGCAAAATCAATATACGATAAAGATGTTTACACTTATAGACATTTGTACGTAACATTAAAAATTGTAGAACTAAGAAAATTTTGAACCATTTAAAATTATAGTTGCGACCTACTAGTACAATAACTTATGAAAGTTTCTAAACTATATAATAATTTTTTTAACAAATATAAATGCTATAGATCAAAATTAATGAGAGGTTGACAAAATATAATTTTTAGGTGAAAGTCAACTGTAAATTTTGATACATGTTTTAATATCACATAATTAGAAGTTTACATATGTTAGATATTAGCATACAGGTTTTTTTTACAAAATTTTCTTATAAAACAAAGTGCTGTGACTTTTTCTTGCTACTAACTTGGTTGCAATGGTTGCAGTAGTAGTAGTAGTACCCCTTTGAGCATGTCAAACATGCTTAAAGGGGCACTACTACTACTACTACTACTACTACTACTACTACTACTACTACTACTACTACCATTACTACTACTACTACTACTACTACTACTACTACTACTACTACTACTACTACTACTACTACTACTACTACTACTACTACTACTACTACTACTACTACTACTACTACTACGACTACTACTACTATTACTACTAAATTTTATAATATTTTTACTTATTGCATGTATTTATTAATTTAAAGCAATAATTTGGAATAAAAAAAATCAAACTTAGTATAACAAAAAAAAATTATTCATAAAACATAAAGTAAATTATAAACTATAAAAAATTATAAAATATACTAAAAATACTTACAACACATTCAAATTTTGCTGACTAACAATAATAAAGTCTCCGGAACTACAAGTCATGTTAAATATGTTATACAAAGACCCATCTCTAAACCAAAACAAAATGGTAAAGTCAGAAACAAGCCAATAACTAAAATTCAAAATTTTGTTGTTTGCTTTTGTAGTAAAACCATCAAAAAATGTTCGATATACCATATATGATTCTTGAATAATAAAAGCATTTTTTATGGTTGTGTAAAAATCATCAAAATCAGTAACCATAACAACAGGATTTGAAAGAGTAGAATTTTGCTGCAATGCAAGATTACCTAAAAAATATTTATTTTAAAAACTTAAATGACAATAAGAGGATTTTTTTTCTGCCTCAAGAAGATGTGACTAATGTGTCATAATTGTGACTAATTGGTCACTGAACTATTTTTTAAAAAAGTCTAAACTACTTTGAACTTTAAAAACTACTTTTTCATTTTAAAAAATTTTACTTTAAGATTTATAAATATGTTTTAAATATATTAACAAAATATTTAAGCAGTGAATTAATTTTTCAAATATATATCTGCCTTTTGCATGCATGCCCATATGTGAGGGTATGTATATATATAACAGATAATGAAGTTATTTTACCTGATGATTGCAAATAGCATGAAACTAATAGTAGTAATGTAGATTTATTTTCATTTAGTTCATAAAGCATTTATTAGAAAATACAAAACAACATACATACACACTCACATACATATATATTGGTTGAACATGAAAACATTTTTACATACGATTAAAGCAGCTAATAGCAAAAAAAAAATGCTTGGAAATATTACACTATTAAACTACTACTAGATTTACAGACTTTTACCATAGTATACCCATTTTACCTTTCGTATAAAATATTGATAGTTGCTATTATTCTAAAACTACAAATAGTTGTTGTTACTAAGTAACAATAACCAACTATTGATAATTATTGTCTTTGTTAAAAAAAAAAAGCATAAGCAATATAGGTGTGTTAATTTTAATTATAAACTAGATAATCAAAATATTTTTCTGTCTTTTAGAGCACCTTTTAATCATAAATTACTCAAAAACCTTTTAATCATAAATTACTTGAAAATTAACAAAAAAAAATTTATGTGGAAGCTATTATGTTGTTGTTTAATTGTAATGGTAATAAATATTGGTTATCATTGCTATTGATAAAATTAGTAAATAAATATTAAATCAAAGTAAATTTTAGAAATTTTTCTTCAAAATTCTTTTTAGTCACAGGTTGAAATTTCAAAATGTTTTTCTATCCTCAGTTAGATTTATTTTATGGCGATATAAAGAGAAAGCAAAATCTATCATTCGCTCCATAAAGACAAACCTATGTTAGTCACAAACCACAGTTAGTCACACAAAAAAATTAAACAAAGCCAACCTTTGATAAAAAAGAGTACTTAGATCTCAGCATAAGATATAAGAAAAACTTCAAAGTAATCAATTAATGGAGAAATTAAAGCAATTCATTGTTCAAAAAAACTAAACTTTTGTACCATGAAAACTTGAGCACAATAATATGAAAAAATTGTTGAAATTCTACAATTGCCATACCAGCAATAATTTAATCAGTTGAAAGGAAGGTATGTCTCAAAAAAAATTCAACTATAATCATATTAACAAATTTTCTACCATGTTTTTTATATGGCAAGCAATCTGCTTTTGTGGTTTGAAAAGTACACCATAATTATACGCAAAACATTAATTGTGGATAAATATATAAAAGAATGCTTAAAAAAACCATTTATCAAAAAGTATGATATGTCTATAATATTTTGGCCTAATTTGGCTGCATTCCAAAATGCTGCAACAAAATGGAGTTGAATTTGCACCTAAGGAAGCAAATCATCCAAAACATCCTGTTATTGGTCAATTATAAAAAGAACCTTGATGAAAAGCAAGAAATTAGCATTAAATGAAAAAGTTTAAAAATAATAATAAATAGCAGCTTTAAAAATAGTTACTTGAGGGAAAATCCAGCAGAAGATGTCAAGTCGTTGCAAAAATATTTTGTTTCTATTTAAGTGTTCATAAAAACTGTAAAAAAATATTGAATAAATAATTCAATTAGCTTATTATGTCAAAAAATTACAAAAATCTGTTAAGTTGTTTTGAGTTTAATTAACAATTAAACAGTGCTGAACTTCATTTAAAATGTTTTCATACTTTCCATACTTTTAAAGTACAGCAAAAGCTGATCTGTATAAAAATTGTACATATGATGAAAGATTTTAGCTAAGTAGTTAAAAGTTACTGTAATGGTGTTAGGAATTCTAACATCTCTTAATGTTTTTAAGTAAAATAGTCAGTTGCAAAGTTTATAATTGCTTTTTCAAATTTTTGCTTTCAAAGTTTGTTATGTAACAATTTTTTAAATATTTATGGAAAACAATAACTATTATTATTAAGAATAATAACTTTAAATATTGTATATATAATACTTTATATATTTAAAATTAAAATTATACTTTTATAATTAATATCATTACATTTTGCTTAGAATAGACAGCCAATCTTGAATAAAAACTCTTATATTATCAATCTTGAATAATCCCTCTAATCTTAAACTATCCTGTAGAAAATTTCATTCTCTGTAACCAAACAATTTTCTTTCTTGAAAATTGTTTGGTTACAGACTTGAGAAACTAAACAACTTTCTTTCAATTTTATGTATTTATTCTGGCCCATTGTCCTCTCGACTATGTTAGTTGTGCTGTACACAGATATAGTTCCCCAGACCATGATCATTGTTGGAAAGTCTTTTTTAAAAAATTTTTAACGAAATTGTAGAAATCCTCAATAATTTTAGCAGCACTGTAGTTCTGACTATATCGTCAAGAAGAGTTCTTTTTTTCATATTGTTACAAATCTCTCAAAGTCAAATAATTAAGAACATTTAACTTTGAAACATAAACCATTTCCATTTATTTTATCATACACCTTTTGTTAATTCTAAATTGAAAAATCCTTGAATGCCTGATAGAACTTTTAGATTTAATTTAGTTTATATTATATTGGATAAAATAACATTTTATTATACTAAGATGATAAAATAACATATTTTTTATACTGAAATATTTTTTTACATTATTCAAAATAACACATTAGCAACTTATTACAATAAATTTGAATTAAATAAACTGATTATAATAATTTACAATAAAATAAAATTAAATCAACTATATTGATTAAAAGAACAATATTTACATAAAACCAAAACAATTAAAACAAAATAGTATTAATTAAACTAATTAGCTCATCCACAATTTAATTAGGAGTTTTGTGTCAGTTTTTCTACTAGGTCACATCCACTAGAGATAAAGTTTTTCTTCTAGGTCACATCCACTAGGGATAAAGTTTTTCTTCTAGGTCACACCCACTAAAGATAAAGTTTTTCTTCTAGGTCACATCCACTAGAGATAAAAAGACTAACCTCTTTTATCAATTTTTATCAATTCCTAAGATTATGGAAATTTATGCAAATTTAAATAACTAAATGAATGTTTGAACATTCCTTAAACTTTTATAACAGACAGGTTCATATAATGGGCATATAATGAAACCAGTGAGGCAGGGGCTAAACTATCATCACACTAACCAAATAATTGATATGATAAACCAATTTAAAATTTTTTGACATAAAAAACTCTAAAATTATTTTCTTTTATTTTACTACCGATAAGCATAACCATTTTTGATTGTATAATTTTATAAAATTTTATTTAATCAATTAACTAGTTTATCAATTGCACTTTGAAAATTTTCACAATTTTATTAATATACATAATAAATCATACATTTAACCTTGGGGAACTACATTTAACATACATAGATAACCATACATTTTTGATAATAGAATTTTATAAAATTTTATTAGACCAATTAAGTAGTTTATCAATTGCATATTGCAAATTTTCACAATTTTAATAATATACAGAAAAAAATTTGTGATGAAACCACTCACAAAGTTGAAGTTACTAGATGATGATTTGACGGAATTTATTATAAATGGTAAATAACTTAATCTAAGTAGTAAGTGGAAAACAAAATTAAAAAAAAAAAGAAAAAGATAAACCTGCATAACTTGTTTTTTCGACAGGACAACTTTGATAAAACTGAAAAATACCAAAAGAAATGTAGCCAACTCCCAGCCCATTTTTATAAGCAATAAACTCAACCTAAAAAAAGTTAATTTAATTTAAGTACTTCAATCTTTAAACTTTGATATTAATTTTTTTTTATTTTTAAAATTAAAATATAATACTTTAAAAAAGCCAAAAATCATTTAAAATTTTTTTATTTAATGGTTTGGCTACATAATACTTAATCATA